GATCACGGTCAATAGTTGAGCCAAGCAAAGTTGACAGTGAGGCTTGGTACCTGGTTAAAACCGCAGCGTTTTGTAGATTCGCGACGTCCGGTCAGTAATGAGCACGCTTAGGTGATCCTCCGAAACGCATGCAAATCTTAGCACGAAAAAATGCGTGATTGGAGTCTAGATAAGTTGGCCAGTACGATCGGCAGTCCGTTACGCTTCTGCGTCATCTGTAGCTGATTGCCGGGAGCATCCTTGCGTTTGTGAGGGCGGGCGCCAGGTAGCAGTGTGTCTCATCGAATGCCGAAAACTAGTGCTCGAAAGATACAAGCGATGATCAGAGCATAGAGCAAGCAATCTGTCTCCATTGTCTGATCGACTGCCACCGAGACCAAAACTACCCCCAAGGTGGTGCTCGCTTGGTAGAAGGCGGCCAACCCGCGAGTTAAAGTCCCCGGCAAGAATGACTACATCAGTCCGTTTGGAGGAACGCAGAAGTTCATTTAGCTTCTGGTAAAAGCTATCTTTAACTGCATCCGGGCTGCAGTCTGTAGGGGCGTAGGCGGAGACGACAAACAAGACAAACTTGTCTCGACGCCTGCTTACGTTACATGAACCTCGTAGTCTGACTGCACATAGCCGACTGTTGACTGGGATCCAGTCAAGCAGAGCTGATTCAGCCCTGGCACTCAGTACAACCCCAACACCAGCTTGGCCAGTGGCGGCAGCTTCTGGGTCTCCGGAAAGCCGCAAGTGGTATTTGGCGTCAGGGTTTACCAGGGAAAGGCTATTCTGATGACTGCGCTAGAGTCTTGTAATCTGGTCTCTGAAAAGCAACAGATGTCTACCGAAAGCGGTTCAAAAGTACGGGATCGACTTGCTTGTTGTCCGATCTGCATCAAAGTTCTAACATTAAACGCTACGAGGATGAATGGAGAACCGGGTTGAAGAGCTTCAGCTTCTGTGGAATGAGAGGCGGTTGCGATCGCAGGATATAGAAAACCGGGATTTTGGCTGTTGATTCCATCAGTTGCGAGACGTGGGTCGTTTGTGACGGTGGGGAGGCGGGATGATCTGTGAGTGGAGATTGAGCGGTTAATCTAGAAGATAGGCATAACAGGAGCAGTAGATGGCAGTATGGTCTATGATGGGTCAGTGGACGTGATACTACTCGGTTGCGCAGGCCGAAGTAGAGGGTTGTCTTAGGGCGCCCTACCCCGAGCCTTTGATCAAAGATCTAACCTACAAGGTAGAGCGATGCGACAGCATTGCAACCCGTTGGGAGCCGGTGACTAAATGGATGGTTCATACGACATTTGGTTCGTGAATGAACAGCGGTCCAACGCACCCCTGAAGTACAGTGCGTCTCAGGGAGGGGCAAGTGCTCAATCCAACGCTCCAAGCGTTTTGACAAGTTGTGGATAGGTTTTCCACTCTCGTCACAAACTGTATCACTAACACCAGGCTTTCTGCTGTCCGTTTCCCGTATCAGATGGAATAACTTACGATGGTTACCAAGGGCAGCAGCCACTTCCATCTCTAATGCACGATGAGACCACCAGGATTCGCACTCTCTCTTCAGGCTAGCACGGAGTTTTGCCCGGAGCTCTTCGCGAGTTTCATTGTGTTCGTTTCCAGCCGAAATATGCCGGCGAGCATCTATAAGTTCCAGAGACTGCGAAGAGACCCAATGTCCATGTTGGTGATTAGACATACCACATGAGGATTTTCCTGCTGCTAATAACGTCTGGTGAATATGAGACCAGTGACCTTCAATTGTCTCCAGTGAGCGCTTACTCAACTCGCATGTCAGCGTACTTTGGTAGGCCTGCAGAAAAGCTAGCTTCGTCAGTTGGCTGGTGTCAATGCGCTCACAACCTCGTCGTGGACGTCCGCCAAAGCGCATCCGCAGGTCAGCTCAGACAAATGCAGGGTCGGTGTCCACACCTGTGCTCTAAATCAAGCGACAGTTCTGGATGCAGTCTCTCCATGGGTAACTTATCGCAATGTGATCGATTTGCGTCCATAGCTGGTTCGAGGCTGGTGGGCGCCAAGTCACCCTCCGGCGGGTGCTGTATCTGAAATTAGTGCTCGCAAGAAATAAGCGAGCATGCTCACACAAATGAAGTAACCGCTCACTGTTATCATTACGGGAGCCTATCCCCATGTTGGCCACCCAGATGCAGCCCATCAGTGGATAATTTTCCAACTTGAGGGTTTAGATCCCCAGCCAGCACTACAGTGTCCGAGCTTCGTCTGTGGCATAGGAGCTCGGACAGTTGGCGACAGAAGTCGTCTTGTACCGAGTCATCGCTAGAGTTTGTGGGTGCATAGGCAGCTATGACGAATTGACACATGTTAGTCCCACGCGACTTCAAAGCTTTGAACGAGCTAGCCAATCGGACTGCACACTTCCGGCTACTGATTGGAATCCAATCAACCAGAGTAGCTTCAGGCCGGGGACTCAGGGCAATGCCAACACTAGTTTGGCCCGTGTTCGAAACTGCATCGTCACCGGATAGGCGCAATGAGAAAGTGCTGCTGGTGTCACCTGAAGGGGATCGCAAAATGACCACAGAACTCGAGTCTTGTAGTCGGGTCTCCGATAAGCAGCAGATATCGATCGAGCGGGTCACTAAAGTTCGGGCAAGTGCTGCCTGTTGACCGATCTGCAGCAATGTGCGCACATTGAGGTATGTCAATCTGAAGGATGATCGAGGGCTCCAAGTGGAAGTCGATAAAATGGGCTTGGCCGCTTGGTTGGACATGGGTTTGTCGACAGGGCAGGAGTGAAGCTCCGCGTTTGCATGTGAGTTGAAAGTAGGAAATAAAAGCCTAGCAAAGCAAGGTGGGGGAGGGCCAAAAAACGGGGAGTTGAAAACAGGGGGATAAAAGTGAGGCTGGAACGGGACGGTAAGAGAGAAAAAGTGTAAGAGGGGGAAAAGAATATGGAAAGGCTTGAGCAGTAGCATCCAAACCCTTATCCACCCTGCTCGGTGCAGCAGATAGGGCACCGTTGATTATCCTCTGCGGTGGCCAGAGTATCAAGAAACTGTCTGAAGAGAAATTCATAGGATTGCGTGGGCAGGATACTATCAGGTTGCCCATGCCAAGACAGGAGAACGATTAGGATTCTGAACCAAAGCCTTTGTTGGGCTACAAGGAGTCCGTTTTAAGGAACAAAGAGCCACCTCATTCCAACCCCAAACCTGTAGGACCAGGAGGCTGGTTTTATCTGGCCTCTAATCATTGACCAATCTGGTATGAGTGGCTTTGAAGGTGCAAAAAAAGCACTACCCAGCATAGCTCAAGGGATCGCTGAGGCACGCAAACCATCGCACCACGGTAAGGTCCAGCCTCAGTCTGCTGCCTGTAGCATCCATACAAGAGCAACAGTTACACGCATACCTGTACACTCAAGGAAAAGTTCGGAACATACGTGCTATGGTCAATGACCTAATGTGATAGTGAAATCGAAACACTGCTGGCGGATTTAGGCGATTGTAAGACACTCCGTGGTTGCCGATCCTTCGAAATAAATCACGTCGCCGCTGGTGTCGACTTTATAATCCGACCAGTGGGTGGTGTCGAGTAGGCTTAGTCCCGGATTAACTGCAGTCTCTTGGTTGGTAGTCGAATTATTCACTGAGCTTGGAAAGTTTGCTGGTAACATCGACCGAGGTGACATCGTTAGTGCGCTGCTGTTTGCGGAGTGGAGTGGTGAGTGTGCCTCATGATGATCAGTCCGAGGTAGGTCACATACATCTTTGGAAGGGTAAGAACAGTCGATGCGAGTCTTCGTAGGCGGTCCATAGTTTACTGACCATGACCTAGAGTTTCGGCAACAAACTAACGTATTATAGTCTCTGACTATTAATAGACCGGTGACACTCGTACAGCAAGCGAATCGAGCTCAAATCGAGTTTCTCTCATCATCAGCAAGTGGCCTAGTTAGTATGGGTGGCTCTATCCAGTCGTAAATCGGGAGTCACAGGACGTATTGATTACAGATGTAATTCCCAACACGGCTGAAAGTGATTTTGCTTCAAAACTGCCTTCACATCACATATGGCAATGAAACGACCGGGTGCCAACTGTTTTACGCCTTCGAAGACTTCGCGCCCGTGCCAGAACGAATCCAGTCGGAAAGCCATATTATCATTATGGTATTACAAATCCACTTCTCGACGATAACGTTGTAAATCATTCCGAATTTCATCAGTATTGCGGAAGGTAAATCAAACCGCGCATATGAGGTCCACAAGTTTTGCAGTAAGGGGCAACCGTTCTACGCACACCACGCGTTAGAGGATCCACGCGCTTAGCTAGTTAGAAGGTTGTGTATCAAGAACAATGCTGGAATGTCCGCGCTACGTAAGAGTGAGTGCTTTATACCCATGCAATGCATACTAATGCGACAACCGACAAGTGGTAAATACGTTCGGAGTGAAAGGACAGTATAGAAATTTGCAATACTATAAACATGAGTACTATCTATAAGAAATCGTGTGCATTCTACTACTGAGTAGTGTGATACTCAGCGCACCAAACTAAAGATTTGTTGGGTTTGCATTGAACATCTATAGCAAACACAAGAGGATATACAACTAGCTCTATGCAGCCTCACAGAATTATCACAGGTAGCGGCTGACAGTATTTGAAAATTAAGTGCTGCGACTTATCGTAATGGTTTAGATACGAAGTACCAGACCTTGGACAGGCATGAGTTATGCACAAGATGCAGAACGAGACTTTAGATTATAGTGTAGGGAAATTTTTAATTTTACCCAAAGTTGAGTTTAGTAGCATTAGAACACGAAGAGCGGTTAGCAGAGGCGGCGCAGTTAACATACTGCTGCAAAATGAAGTTAATCGATGAGAGTAACAAAAAGTAGTGCAGTTTCCATGATCAATGGAAGATCACTACCGAATGAAGTGCACCAACATTTCAGTTAGAAGAAAGCAATTCACGATCATCATGAGTGCGAACAAATCCTGGACATTGATTTGCTTACATCTTTGAGAGCCTAGGCGGGAAAGCAGACGAGTGGGTGCAGTGTCAGAAGACTCTCGCCGCTGTCTTGTGTCCAAAGCTGAATGCCCCCACAGACTGGTTAGGCTGGGAACGTTTGGACGGGTTACCTCAGTGGCGACGCCCGAAGAAGTTGTGCCACTCGGTAAGTAGGTGGAAGAAAAGGACTGTTTTAGTTGTGAGGTCTTTGAGGTCCTGAAAAAAGGCAGATTGTGGTACGACATCGCGTGAAGCAACAGAGAGAAATGAATTAAGAGCTTACTTTGAATTAATACTCGTCAAGCATAGAAAATGATTGCAATTAACAGACGCACGATCGGCTGGAGTGGGTAGAAGATGAGCTTCCATCCCTCTGCGTTAGGCAAAAAGCATTGGGATGGATTATCACAAAGGAGTAGTAGTCGGTTGGCCAAAGGGGTGCAAGTAACCATAGCTACATGTTTTCGAGAATCAAAAAAGACGTTTGTTTGTTTAATTCCTAAAAAAACAGCCGCAGCAACCCGATTCGTTTAGTGCTCTAAACGGAGGTGTGTATTACACTGGCAGAGGTTGTTGTGGACCGGAAAGCAATCCGAAAATTTAGAAGGATAGACAGCTGAATTGTTCCCAAAAGTGCTTCACACAACCAGCCAGACGGCGTTCTTTATTAAAATGCTGAGGATTGGTACGGTCTCTAAGTGTCTCACTGACGGATGATTCCACAGAACAAGTAGCGCAGACTAGCCTCAAGAGTCAGCGTTAATTACCCGCTGTCCCAACTTCAGACATTTCCTATGCATTCTGAGTCGACCAAGCTTTTTCGTAGACTCCGCTTTGGCTCGCGGTTCAGGAGGTACACCGCGATGAGCAAAAATTGTCCATCCCCACTGGGTTAACAGTGTTCCATTGATGCCGCGTTAGGGGCCGTGGAGGTTGACCGCGGAAACCATATTCCAGTGAAATGTGTACTCACTTTAAGCAGGTAAAAGCTCAGCAAGCGGGGCATTTCGACTAGCTTGCCTAGTTGTGGATTAAAATAGCTTCGCGATCACTAGTTCAGGAGGTCGTTTGCTGGATACAGTGTACGAGTAAACTAAAAGTAGGTAGTGCACCAGGGGAGAGTCAGAGGCGACGCACTTATTTCAAAACAGGTGACAGTCAGGGATGAAAGCATGCCGGCTGAAAGCTTTAGTGAGGTGGACTGTTTTGATTCATCGAAAACCGGCAACCAGAGAACGCCAAGCTGCACATCTTGGTCTATTATGCATGAATGTGATGAGATCTAGAAAGAGCCGGCTGCAGCAACATGATTACAACAAACACTCATCGTCGCTAGTGTTTGAGAACTGAAGTCCAAAATTCCAGTAACAGTTTATTAGGAATGTGGACGACCTAAGTGTGCGCGCATATCACCTGCAACAGGAACCATTCTCGAGGTGGTTTAGTTGCAAATTAGCCAGACAAGCTGAAGTTAATAGGATAATTGCTTCGTGTGCAATCAGTCAAAGTAGGGGCAGCAGTAAACAGGCGGCAGATAGAAATGCTTCAGACTTTGGTAACAGTTGACTTCAAATGGGATACACGTAAGCGCCTGTTCGCATGAGTCAACAAAACGAATGGAACTCAACCCCAGAGCCAAAGACGATATTCAGTGCCATGTAGCTGGTATGACAGAAATCGCAGAAGTGTATGAAGAAAAGTAGGAAGTTCGTCGAATACAGTTGGATAATAGCGTGAAAGCCGTCAACTATGATGTCTGACACGCAGTGCACGTCAACAGCAGTGGTACCCAGTATGCTGCGGACTAGATGGGTAAAGGTCGCAAAATGTAAGTAGCAGATGATGGTGACGAAAGACCGGTGAACAATTAAAGACATGGAACCGATAGAAGAGGAAAAAAATTCGTGACGAATCTGGATACCGTCTCAACGAGACTGGACCTTAATAGGATGCGACGATTTGCGTACCTCGTCGACTCATTGAGCTATATTGGATAGTGCCCCTGGGCCCTCTTGAGAGCTACTCCTACCAGGTTGGTCAATGTTTAGGGGTCAGACAAACTGTCTCCTGGTCCTCCAGGTTGGAGGTTTGGAAGGTAATGGCGTCCATTTCCGTAAAACTAAATTACTGCCACCTCCCCGCCGTCTTGTCTACAGGCTTTTGAGCAAGGACTTTCATTGATGATTCTGTCTAGGTCTGGGCGCACTAGCAATATCTCTGCCTGCGTACAACCATGACCACTTCCTCAAACTTCAACCATATCCGGCATCGGCCGTCGCGCAGTTTATCAAGGGTCGTCTTATTTAATGCAAACATCAGGGTGGATAAATGAAAACGTGCTACTGCGGGCGCCTCACTTTTTTCTTTTCCACCTTTTCCTCACACTCCAATCCCAACCTTCATTAAAACGTTCCATCTATAGTTCGCACCTTAATTAACAGCAGCCCTAATGCCAATGAAGTCGAAGCATCTGTAGCTATCTTCCGGCATCATCAGCTGGACGCCTATCGGCAAGTTTATTATAAGGCCACGCTGTCCCGCTTCAATGGCGGTATCCGGGAAAAGGAAAAAATATAAACGAAAACCATCATTTTAGCAACTAATCGCCCACCCTGACGGCACCAAATCTGCCGGACCTGATGGGCTTCACCCACTGGTTCGCAAGTCACTTTCGACCATCATCTCTCCTGTCGTTACTGACCTTTTCAACAGGTCGCTCTCCGAAGGTTCTTTGCCAATGGACTGGAAATGTTCGGTGGTGAAGCCTATTCCGAAAGGCGGCGATACTAGCAAAGTAGACAACTACATGCCAATTTGTCTGACACCTATTTTGGCAAAGGTCGCTGAGAAAATCATGAAGAAGGGATTGCTACAGTTGCTACAGTCAAACGAGGTCCTGACACCCGCACAGCACGGTTTTATGCAAGGCCGCTCATGCATTACGAACCTGCTTGTGACGAGGCGTGAGTGGTTGAAGACCATAAGCAAGGGGGAGTCTGTCGACGTGATATTCATCGATTTCAGTAAAGCGTTCGACAACGTCCGCCATGAGGTTCTGCTTCACAAACTCAGGATGTATGGTGTCGGTGGCTCACTGCACGGGTGGATCCGCGACTTTCTTGTTGAACGAAAGTTGAGGGTACAGGTCGACGACCATCTAACTGACTGGTACCCCTCTACAAGTGGCGTGCCTCAAGGCACTGTGCTGGGGCCTACTCTGGTCCTGATCCACATCAATAATCTACCTCAGCTTCTCCGGACGCCGTGTGCCTTGTTTGCAGAAGACATGAAGATTTGGAGAGAAATTGACGCTCCCGATGACTGTGGTCTACTTCAGCAAGACATCAACCTCCTATCCACATGGTCTGCAGAAGTTCTTCTCCCGGTCAACCCAGCCAAGTCTGTATTTATGAGCCTGGGGAAAGATGCTGACAGCCGAACCAACACCCTTGATGGCCAACCGCTATATCCCAACCCTCCGTAAAGGAGCTAAGTGTACCCTCGCGCTACGATTTGAAGTCCGTGGACAACACGAACAGGCTATATCGTAACGGACTGCGCATGCTTTGGGCGCTCAAACGTAGCTTCGGCACATGGTCTAAAGAGGTTACCACTCGTCTCTTCCGTCTCATCATTAGACCAATGCTATAACACGGTTCGCCCGCCTACTTTCCGATTACACGAGGCGAGGTACAAAAGACCGAACGGGTCCAACACGTTGCTACCAGGCTTATCTCGAGTTTGTGGCTTGGGGTATGAGGACCGGCGCGAGAAACTAAAACTCTACACCTTGTCCTACCGTCGGGTGTGAGTCGACCTCATTATGACCTACCGTATTCTACGTCTCAGTGACTTCCCAATGCTTAGGCCAATGCTGCACTTACGAACGCCACGCAACAAACGCGGACACAGAAACAAACTTGTCGTGCGGGATTCGAAGCGAGTTCCCCACCCACTGTACTTCGAACGGAGAGTGGTAAATATTTGGAACAGTTTACCTGAACATGTGATGGAGGCAACATCTGTGCAGTAGTTCAAAACGTTGTAAGATTTATATTTTACCACTATTCGATTCAGAGAACGATTGCACACTTACGATAATAAATCACATTTGTGAGTCTTGCAATACCGCGTGTAATATATTTAAATGTTACATGAGAATGACAACGATATTCACGGCCGACAATTTTTATAACGTTTTTCACAATATTTCGAAAGAGTGGCAAAGAATTCATTTCTACTTGCTATATAATACGGTATTCAGAATTCAGTATCTTCGATCGTGCATTGATTTCCAAGACTCCGGAACCCTCCATTCCTTCACGTGATCGTCAAGATAGAGTTTTGGCAGGGCGGCTGCTAATTTTACCAGTTGACCTTTGTTTCCTAGAAGCCGAAGGTCACTGAACCCCCTATATATTTAACGTAGGTCTGGCGTAATGGTACAGTGTTTTAGCGGCATTTTTGGCTACGTTGGCAACGTTTTTGTTAGCACATTTCCCGCAGTCAAGGTCGTTGGACTTTTAATTTCTCTTCGGCTGGGCTAGACTTTTGCGAAGAAATTTTTGGGTGTCAAATCTGAAATAGTGAGAAAACGTGAAGACCTAACAATGGAGACGAACAAGCACAAAAATGTTACAAACTTCCTGCCGAACATTTTCAAAAGCTGCTTCTTCAGTATCAATCACAGATAGGAGCACAAATGAAACTGATTGAAGGTTTGACGCAGTGCTTGAACGTACAGTCAAACGGGACACGCAAGCTGTTTCACTTGATCTTTTTACGAATGCAATCAATGAATTTCATTATGGTGCGGATTCCGAGTGCACTTTCGAGGCGTGCTTCAAACGCTGGGAGGACATGTTCCGGACAGATTTCAGCCGTCAAGATGATTCATGGAAAGTGCGTCTTTTGCTCCACAAGCTCGGTACTAATGAACATACAAGATTTCTTGACCGCATCCTGCCCAAAGAGCCGAAGGACATCGCTTTCAAGAAAGCAGTGGCAACACTCAAAGAAATTTTTGGTGAGTCGACGTCTGTTTAACATTCGCTACCAATGTCTAAAAATTGTTAAACGTGATACAAACGATTATGGGGCACTAGCAGACATGGTTAACCGTGAATGTGAACGTTTCAATTACGCTGTTTGACGGGTGATCAGTTTAAGTGTCGTATATTTATCAGCGCTTTACAGTCTCCACGCGACACGGAAATCCGCACTCGGCTCCTTGCTAAGTTGGATCAAGATCCAGATTTGACATTGAAGTCTCTTGCAGGCGAATGCAAACGGTTGATCAGTTTGAAACAAGACACGGCTATGATTGAGCAGAGTCGCCCTACCATTGCCGATACTGTTCATGCTGTGCA